GGTGTGCTAATTGAAAAATGGGTATGCTGCATTTGCACATTGAATGATTATGTTATTGTTTATGTTGGGAGCAGGGGTGAGAATTAGTGTGGGCAAAACAAGTAATCTTCATAAGGTTTGAATGATTTTCCATCTCATATCTTTGCTTGGAAGCATGCCTATATTGTAATGACTCCCCTGCTCACCTAAAATATGCTATTTTTCGTTTCCATTTTAATGGATGCTTCATTTTGGAATCTTATGGGTGGTCATTTAGTGTTGATGGAGAGTTAGCAGGAGTAATGGTTTTTTTATGTGAGTTAAGAGACTCGACAAGGTTATGTTGAAGTTGGTGTTGCGAGCACTGCTTTATGTTGAATGCATATTCTTTTACCCTTTTGATAGACAATGTACGATATTTAAGTTTGGTGTGTCTTTAGTTCCTTTCCTTTTTGATCTTTTCAGGTTTTGGGTTTATCCTTGTTTGGCCGGCACCCATTGCGCAGCCTGGTGTCTTGATGTGGCATAGTTTGTAAGACTTATATTTTCTTTTTAATGCAATTATCACTTCTGTAAAAAAAAATAGCTTACAGTGGTGACATTATAAATATGCAAATACAAGAATTTAGGGAATGAGTACTCTATTACTTAATTTTTTGCTTATGATGCAGGTGGTCTGTGAGTGAAAATGGTAATTGGCTTATATCAAATTAGAGATGGCTAAGCACCCGATGATTTATACATTTGAAAGGTCATAAGGTAATGTGTCTCCCTACCTAGTTATAGCTCTCCCCCAACCTTTTCATGCTAAAACTTTGAACCAAGGATGAATAACCTTTTAATCATCTCTTGCCTGCTCCCTATCTTAATTTAAATTTACATTATAGCCTTTCACTAAACAAACATGGACTTGTTGTGATATTTAATTTAAGTGCTGCAAATTTTTATTTTATTAGGTAATATTTATTTTGAATGCCATGGCTCCTAATAATATTTGGATGAATCTCGTCTATAATCGACTTGGTGTGGACTATGATCGAGGAGTTAAAGAGTTTCTTGATTACACTTTTCAAAGGGAGAGATAAATGGTAAAGTTCGATGCCCTTGTGTGAACTGCTGTAATGGAACATTAGGAACTCGTCAATCAATTATAGCACACCTTAAGGTTTTCGGGATCAATCGAAATTATACATTCTGGTATCATCATGAGGAAAAGATTGGTGAGTCTGGAGCTAGAACTAAATAAGGGAATGAAGAACCTACTGAAAGTATTGTGGAAAGTGGAATGCATGATATTTTAAGAGACCTTTGTCCTGATGTTGATGAGTATGAGGCTCCTAATGATGGCAGCTTTAGTGTAATGGAGGATGTAATGGAGGAAGAGCCCAATGACGAAGCAAAGATATTTTATAAGTTGCTGAACGACTCACAACAACCACTCTTTGAAGGGTCAAAGATTTCAAAGTTGTTGGCATTGGTTAAGTTACTTCATATCAAAACTCTTGGTGGATGGAGCAATGCGCCTTTTGCAGAGGATCCTCGAAATATTAGGCTGGGTCTTGCTAGTGTGGGTTTCAACCATTCACAAACTCGTAAACGCCATATAGTATTTGGCTGGTGGTTTTGATTCCCTTTAACTTACCTCCTTGGATAGCTATGAAACCATCAAATTTTATTGTTTCGATGCTGATACCCGGTCCTGAATCTCCAGGGGATACAATAGAATTTTTTCTCTAGCCATTGGTAGAGGATCTGAAGGCGCTTTGGCATGATGGGGTTCATACATATGATGTGTCAAAACGACAAAACTTTAAGTTGAGAGCTTCTTTGCTATGGACAATAAATGATTTTCCAGCCTATGAAAACCTATCTGGTTGGATAACAAAAGGAAAGTTAGCTTACCCTTGTTGTAATAAGGAGACTTTGTCCTTGAGGTTGTCGAATGGGTGCAAAGAGTGTTACATGTTTCATCATCGATTTTTGCCTAATGAATATAGATGGCGAAATGATAAGGATTCATTCGATGGAACAAAGGAAAGGAGATTGCCACCACATATTTTATGTGGCAGTGATATTCTCGACCAAGTTAGAGATCTTGAAGGCATCAAGCTCACAAAGGCAGCCCGAAAAAGGTGAAGATTTTGCATGAAAGTAGAGGGGATAATTGGAACAAAAAAAGTATGTTCTTCGACCTTCCATATTGGGAAACTATTTCACTCAAACACAATTTGGATGTGATGCATATTGAGAAGAATATATGTGATAATGTTCTAGGGTCAATCCTAAATTTGAAGGGAAAGAGTAAAGACAATCTCAATAGTCATTTGGACTTGGAAGCAATGGGGATAAGGCCAGAATTGCATCTGATGGAAAAAGTGGGTAAAATGGAGATACCACCAGCACAATACACAATGCATCCAAAACAAAAGGACAAATTCTACTCTTTTCTAAAGCAATTGAGAGTTCCCGATGGGTTTTCATCAAATATCCCACATTGTGTGAACTTAAATGAACACAAAATCTCTGAGCTGAAAAGTAACGACTGTCATATTCTACTTCAACATCTTATTCCTCTTGCAATTTGTGGCCTCTTGCCTAAAGTTGTCTGTGAACCACTTATCGAGTTATCATTGTTCTTTAAAATCTTGGGTTCTAAAGCATTGACTATGAATGACTTAGAGCAGATTGAGTCTCAAGTTCAAGTCACTCTTTGCAATCTTGAAAAGATATTCCCTCCTTCATTCTTTGATATCATGGTGCATCTTCCTATTCATTTAGCTAATGAGGCTAAAATAGGCGGGCTGGTTCACTACAAATGGATGTACCCGATTGAGCGTTACTTGCACACATTAAAATCATTTATTCGAAATAGGACACATCTAGAGGGTACAATTTCAAAGGGTTATATTGTAAAGGAGTGTATGATTCTTTGTTCAAGGTACTTGGATGATATCGACACTAACTTCAATATAATTGGGCGGAATGAAGATGGTGGCAGCATCTGTCCTGACTCAGAATTCTTACGCTTCTCTCAAGCTGGAAGACCAATTGCTGGTGGCAAGACACATGACTTTTCTACGCTTGAGCTAGAGCAAGCTCATATCTACCTTCAAAGAAATTGGGAGGCAATGGAACCTTTTTTGAGTAAATTGTGGTTAATCCTTTTCTTGGTAGTTAACAGTTTATGTGTTGTTTACATATAGCTTTTGCCTGAAAACGTGCTATGATATAATGTAGAGAGTATGATTAGCTCTTAAGGGACAATTCGCTTTAAATACCTAAAAAAGATGAGAATTACAAGTTCATACAGTAGCTTAAGACCAAAGTAAGATTATTTTCCTAAAATTATAATGTTGTAAGTAAAGATTGAGGATTGTAATTGTTAGATTACTTAGCTAGTTTCAATTTATATGATATAGGTGGCACGCTTGTGTATGAGTGATAAAAGTAAGAAGATGAATGATTTGCTTTCATTATCTCGAGGCCCTCTCCAGAATGTCACGTGTTTCCATGGTTACCTCATAAATGGATTTAGATTTCATACAAGTCGCCATGACAGGTGTCTAAGGACTCAAAATAGTGGAGTTGTAGTTATTGGTGACAATAGTGTGGATAATGAACCAAAAGATTACTTTGGTGTGTCATCTGAAGTTGTTGAATTACAGTTTGTTGGAGGAAGAAGAGTGGTTCTGTTCAATTGTGATTGGTTTGATATTCATGATAAAGTGAAAGGAATGAAGATAGATGAATACATGATCGTTAGCATTTAAAACCATATAGTTACTTTTGTGCTTATGCTTGGTCTGAATAGATGTAGTTCTCGTGCAGGATATGTTGCTTTAGAGGGGAGGTATTGCTTTGTGGTATTACAGATCAACATAAGAAGCCTTGCAGGTTGGTAATATACAAACAGTGGTTGTGCTTGTATCTTGTGAATAATTGATTTCAAGAACATGAATGCTAGGGAGTGAATTGAGTTGCTCTAGGATATGTTTTAACAAATAAACGTGACTGAAGTTGGGTTTGGATTAAGGGTTTGGTGGAGTGAAAGAGGATAGATAGAGTACTTATTTTGCCAAGTAAAAGTGGCTGATAATTATGGGCACGTCGGAACCAGAGGAGGCTGCTGCTTGTAGTAGTGTATTTCTTGTTTATTGTTATTTGTGAAAGTAATATCTGCTGCACCAAATGTAAGTAATTGCTTATGCTTAAATGGTGTTGTTATAAAAGCAGAGGGAATACTTAGTTTCATTTAAGAGAACCATAGAGATGCCCGATGTCTAGTCTCTTCTACTTGGATAAGTGCTAATCATATTAAAAGTCTCTTTCTTTGAGTTATGTTCGAAGCATAGTGGTGTCTAGATTGCATGTGCATTTGATTAATTCTGACTTTCTTGAAATTATGCGGTTATAGAGGAGGAGGTGGTCAGGGTAAGGCATGGCATGGAGGGAGAACACAAGCTTGTTGGTTGGGATTCTAGTGAAATATAATAGCACTCTTAGTTGCTACTGTCATAAAGTAGTGTACTGTTGAGGATATTAATTATTTAGTAAATAATAATTAATTCCTTCTCCTCTAAGTCCCTTGTTTTCTTGTCCTTGTCAAAGAAGGAAACTTGGTTGTCATTAGGGTTTTAACCCTACGTCTATCTCTATATAAGCTTAGCTACGAGATTGTCGTAAACAAGCCGTAACAATGTAGTCCCTAAAAAAACATCAGCTGTGAGCTCTTTCGAGGGCACCATGGATTAGTCTCGATCAATCAATCGATCGAGGATACCACATAAAATCTTGTGTTCTGTGTTCTATTCAATTTCGCGTTATCAAATTCTACATGGTATCAGAGCAAAACTCGATCCTTTTTCTAGGGTTTTGAGCTTCTACACATCAACATAAATTGTCTCTCCGTGGTAGCATTGACGTCATCGATTCAAGGTCAGTTATGCCCAAGTTTTCAGTGTTGCCGCCAAGTCCTTCGAAATCCAGTGGAGATGGCTTCCTTCTCAAATCAAAGTCCCTTCTTAAATCATGGTCTTTTATGAAGTGGTCGTGATTCCATGTTCAAGGGGCCCCATAAGATCGCAACTTTCCAGTGTCACAAGTTGTCAAATGGCGAGTCAAAACCACTGTCAGTAGGCTCAACTCACCATCGTGCTTCTTATGGTCCTCGTCGTTCTTGTCCTGATGATATCGAACAGTCATCGTTGCCAGCTTCTCGTGATCTCTCTCTCCGGGTCGTCGTCGCATCCCGTCAAGGTCCTCGATTTCAGTCGGGTCCGGGTTCGTCCAACTAGTCTTCCTGTCCATGCTGGTAGTCGCCTCCACAATCATCGATAGCAGCATGAAGAGCTTTTTGCATATCGTTGCCATGAGTCCTACGTCTCCTGAAGTATCTGCAGCGTCATGGTATTCATCAAGGGTTTAAGTTTTGGACAATTCCAGATTACCCTTTTAAGTTCTTTATTCCACATTGGCCCACTGTTGGCCGCAACTATCTTCCTGGTCAGCGGCGATGCTCGTTCTCCAGCGTACAACAACAAAACGAGATGCAAATCCACAATCTTGAGTCTACATTCAGTCAAGACTTGTCATCAGTCCTTGTCGTCAGCATCCCGCAGTCAACATCCATTGTCTCTAGGCATCAACATCCGTCTTTCTCCAAACCAACAGCCAATCGGGTAGTCCCAACGTCACAAGTCCTCCATCTCGGGTCCACGTCAGTCTCATTGGTGCTCTTTCTTTGTCTCGTTGGCGTTGACCGCCTCCGACCTCCCATTCGTCGCAGGCCACAAGAAAGCCACAATGTAGTCCCTAATAAAACATCAGTTGTGAGCTCTTTCGAGCTCACCATGTATTATTCTCGATCAATCAATCGATCGAGGATACCACGCAAAATCTTGTGCTCTGTGTTCTATTTCAATTCCGCGTTATCAAATTCTACATGTACTGATGTTGTAACAATGGATTGGCCTTTTGTCTTTTAGTTGGCTGATTTTGCAATACTATTTTTTAGTAGAAAACTTTGTTTAACTTTAGATATAAGACTATGTATTTATATTTGAAATGCTAGAAGGAAAAGAATGTGACTAATTATGAGGTACCAGGTGAGTTGAGAGCTTTGAGATATATGCATTGAAAATTTATTATCGAGATGGCAGCTTATCAACTAATAGTTGATTACTCACTCGTTCCGAATATCACACTTAAATGCCACCCATTATGGAGCTCAAATTCCACAAACACCAAAGAGAAACGGGGATAAAAAACGTACATTTAGACCCAAATTACTCCCCCACACTTAGACGTTTGCTTGTCCCCAAGCAAACCATTTCACATAAGGTAATATATCAACCTAACAAAAGAGCATGGGGACAACTCAAAGGGAACAAAGTGGGAATCTCAATGGCTATTGGCAATTAAGACATGAACCGTTGCAAGCAAGACCAGCATCCACCACAAACGACATTCAAGACCACCAGAAACGGGCAAACGAAATGTTCTCACCTCGTTCATGAATCAATGCACGCCTCAACAAGATGACTCATCAACCAAAACTAACCATGCATAACATTCAAGTCCAAGGAATAAACGAATGGGCAACAAAGGTCCTCACCGAGGTATGATATGACATGCAAAGCAAGAATGAATCACTCACTCTCTTGACCAGTGGGGTCGGGACCATTTGGTGAAAAAATGTGAACAATCATCAACACTCGGCCCTATCATCTCTTCACCATGACAGCTGCCTCTAAATGCTAGAGTTCACGGGGCGGTTGTCATCACTAGCTTGTCCGGAGGCCTTAGACACGGGTTGAGATGACTGGCAATTGTCTTGAACATGGGGAAAAGGGTTTTTGGGTGGTGGAAAACACAATATGAGGTCCTACATCTTCACCTTTAAACCGAAGGTTCTATGTCTTTGACTAAGAACCTTCCCTACACACAATGGCTACTAGAATCGGCCAAAAACCTTACTTCTCCCTTCCAAACTACCACCCATCATGGACTACATTCAAGCACACTTCCTCGGTCTATTCTTGCTATCACATTTCAAACATAGTAGTGAAGGAGTTCAACAACAATGTGGGTGTTTAAATGGCTTGAGTGCCAAGAAATCCTCCTAGAGCATACACTTTGATTTTTGTGGCACTCTCTACTTTATTTACCCCGCTTTATTACCTTTTTCGATTCTTTTCCTTTCTATTTTCATTTTCTCTTTTCTTTTCTTTTGAGGGGGGGGGGGGGGGGGGGGGGGGGGGGGTAGGTACTAGGGAGTAAAACACTTGCCACATTATCATTTAACAACTAATGCTCTCTTTTAAGAACTCAATCCAACACTACTCTTTTCTCTTTCATTCCTCACAAGAACTGCACCAAATCCTCCTATGTAGAACCTCAATGGATCTCCTAAGCACGAGCTCTGGAACACAAGGACGACTCACGTATAGACACCAAGAAAGGATGGGGGGGGGGGTCGTTCTATCAAACACCATTAAGCTTATGAGTGAAGAGCTCCTACAAGAGAATGACCCCCAAAGTTACAAGGCTCAAAGGGGTTGACTAGGGGATAGAACATTTCGGGACAATCAACATTTGGGCGTGGATTAATCCTAAGCCTCCATCATACTCACTAGTGACAAATGTGATGTTACTTGCCATGGTAAGAGGGACCTAAGCACACAAGAAGAAAACGATCGGCTCAAAACTCACATGGCTGCCTAGTCACCCAACCATCTATTCCAATTCACAAAACACAATGCATGGCAATTGTAATTAACAAGTAACCGAGTCAAGATGTCCATTCATTTTTTCACACATGAGAACTAAACCTTTGCACTATCCTAATGCACCTCTCAGTCTTCATAATAGGACACACTTGATCACATGCAACAATTTAAGGTCAATGCCAATAAACACGAGATTCTCCCACAAACAGGCCACTTTGATCATTCAAGCATTGCTTGGAGCCCTCAAAATTTTCAATTTGTGCATACAAAAGCTCCACACATTTGATTCTGGCCTAATTGTACACTTTTTTATCCCCGATTCTCTTTGAAGTTTGTTGCAATTGAACTCCAAAAAGGTTGGTTTTATGAGAGGTTGCTTGTGTTTCAGTGTGTTTCAGATCCTAACATGTAAAACTAAACCCATAGTCGAAAGTTGGAAGAAAAGGAGCAAAGACCGAGTAAAGAGGTGGAGACAGCTGATGTTCACGCCCAGACGTTGGAGTTCACGATCTTACAGGACCGTGAACTGAAGCCATGACCCATGAAGCAAACAGAGAGGGTTTTCAAGTTACTGACGCCCAGGCTATTCACGGTCGCTAAGACCCTGAACAGAGGCCACAAACCGTGAACCCGAGCAAATGAAGCGCTGCGTTTTGATCGCAACACTAAGTTCTCGGACGCGTTTCAATGTTCACGACCGTGAACTCAGGCCATGAACTGGGCGCGATCTCAACTTAAAAGGAAAGCTGAAAGGAAGAAGAAAGGGGGAGACCTAGTGGGAGAAACTTCTCCTTCTTCATATTTTAGAGTGAGAAAGTGACGAATCAAAGAAGAGGAAAAACTATGGTTTCATCTCCAGGCAAGGTTTTGGGAGTTCCTTCCCAAAAGGAGGATTTCTTCAGCGCAAGGAGCAAGGATTGCATCTTCTTGATGGTTTCCCTTTCCCTCTCTTGTGTTTTCCCTTCTCCTATCATGGAGTAGTACCTTCTTTCACTTGGGTATTTGTGAACCCTAGCTATAATTATGTGAATGCTTGTATGAATTGAATGATTTGTGTGTGGTTGTGTTTTAATGTGAATGTGGAGGTATTATTCAGAAATGATTGTGTTGTGTGAAAGCCTATCAATCTAATTGGCATTCTAACCTAGCTTATAGAGGAGACCTCCTTAGGTTAGGAGGCTCAATTTGAGATGGGTGTTCTTGGGCATTTCATGCCTCCTATGCTAGTTTAGAGAGGAAACCTCCTTAGGTGAAGATGCTCAATTTGAGATGGGTGTTCTTGGGCATTTCATGCCGCCTAGGCTAGTTTAGAGAGGAAATATCCTTAACTCGAAGGGGCTCCATTCGAGACGAGTTTCCTTGGGCACTCAATGCCTCCTAAACTAGTTTAGAGAGAACTCTCCTTAACCTAAGAGGCTCATTTCGAGATGGGTTTCCTTGTTCATTCAATGCCTCCTAAGCTAGTTTAGAGAGAACGGTGCCTAACCTAAGAGGCTCTATTAGAGATGGGTTTCCTTGAGCATTCTATTCCTCCTATTCTAGGTTAGTTAAAGGGCAAGCCTCCTAATTCGGTTTGGTTGTGGGTGGCCGTCCGAACTCCAATTTGAGGGTGAAGTCTAACCATTCGTTAGTTGATAGGTTGAGAGGGTCACATTGATGAGAACATCGATGGGCCAGTCACACGTGCTAAGGAAAGGACATTGAAGGAGAAGCTTGCAACATAAGTAGAGAGCTACTTTGGAGCTATTTTGAGGGAAGAAGGAGGAGGTGTTGAAGAGAAGGCAGAATGCAAGAAGGAGCCTTAACGGGTTTGCTTAACGGGTTTGCTGGGATGTTTTCGGGTTTCCATGTTTGAAAGTCGGTTTATGGTTGTTTTTCAATGTTGGAGTCGGATTTGGGTTGTACTTTTCCTATTTAAAGGGCTGAACACGTTGGTTTGCCCTTACACGATTATTATTGAATTTTAGAGGCTATTGTCGAGTTCCCTACGCGGAATTTTCCCTAATTACTATGTCGAGAATCTCCAGAGTGCTAGAGCGACTCTTATCAGCTAGGTATTCATCCTAGTTGTGGCGAGCTACCCATATCAATTGCCCTTTGTTCCGAGTTCAATCTGTCCGATCGATTCATATATCGATTGCCCTTATTCACGGGTGAGTATTGTCCGATCGATTTGCATCCTATCCAGTTCTATTTGGTTCGAGAAGCTTGACCCTGCTCTACTTTGATTATATCAAGTGGTATGAGAGCTAAGGTTCAAATCAGTGGAGTGTTCTTGAAGTTTTTTGAAGATATTGTGCGTTCTTGTTCGTGTACTTGGTTGTTTTGTGCGAGTTCTTGAAGGTCTTGGCGTGTTCTTGAGCCGTAAGACAGGAGGTTGTTTGTTCTTGGGAGTTCTTGGTATTTCTTGCGAGGCAAAAAGCAGGTTGTGCGAGTTCCTGAAGTTCTTGTGTTCTTGGAGTTTTCTTGCATCGCAAATATGGAAGCAACACTCGAAGCGATCGGAAATCAATTGGAGATCATTACTCGTGCTCAAGAAGAGCAAACATTAAGGCTTGCCGAGCAAGCCACGAGGATGAAGGCCGTTGAGACAAGGTTCCAGCAGCCGGTTGTGGTCGACGCAAACCCTAACCCTAGACCTCGACAGGAAGAAAGGGGAAGGGAAAACCGAGCTCCTCCT